CGCCCATAACCACACACTGCTTTCAGAACTGATAGTGGTGCAGGGTTTTTCAACCACTTGCTGGTCATTCCTTGCTAGAGTGTAGAACAATGTTTTCTTTTTCAACCAGGTCAAATCTTTTGGCTCACACCTCTCTCACTCTCCCTTTTTGGGAAATGTTCCTTAAAGAGCTTGTAAAGAAAGAGAAGCTGGCACGGTGAGGCTCTGAAGTTTATCTTTTGGAGATTGAGTAAGATGGAGAGAGAGAGAGAGAGAGAGAGAGAGCAGAACAGGATACTGAGACAGTGGTGGTTGGAAATTGCAGGCCTTTGAGGAAAAACTATCCTTCCTTGCTTTTGCTCTTCCTTTTTCCTTAGCTGGTCTTTCAGGGTGTGGAGGTCAATGCAGGTCGACAGATGCCTTGCGAGTTGAGCCTGGTCCAACGTGGCGGAGAATACGAGTAAGTCCCCAATGAAGTGTGAACATTTCTGTCGCCACTGCTTACAAATCTGTACACAGATCATTGCACTTATAGCCTAAGGCAGTGATGGCGAACCTTTTAGAGACCGAGTGCACCCATACCATAGGTTCGCCACCACTGGCCTAAGGCAGTATTTCCAAACTTGGCAACTTTTAAGATGTGTGGACTTCAATTCCCAGAATTCTGCAGCCAGCATACACTACAGAAAATCATTGTGTAGTCTTTTGAGTTTGGACAAATGCTGTAATGCCATTTCCATTTATCTTGTGTGTGTATGTGTGAATCCTCCTATATGTAGCATTTTTGCCTGGAAGGGCAAAACAAAATTTTTTTGCCTCTCAGTTTCTTTCTTGTGCCTCTAAGTTATCACATTCATGTTTGTTTTTTTAATTGCAGGTTGGTTATAAGCTTCCGGGGAACAGACCCGCTTACTCAAGAGCACATTCCAATCAACGGCCGTTTTAAATGTGTACAAGGTATTCAAAGTCTGTTTTCTTTCTGGTTTGATGACTCACTGTTTCCTGCAAGCCACAAAATGGCTAGTGTCAAAATCAAAACCACAAACAGAATCTGGACCTTAGCAACCACAGATGCTAGTTAGGAGTTTAGCACAATCATAAATCCTGCGGCAATGGAATCATAACTGGGAATCCCCTTGCTTGATTAAAGATCTGATAGCCCTAATGTTTTCAAAAGTGAAACTGACTCCGTATCACATATAAAACACAATTTTGCAAACCAGGATTAAAAGAGCACCACTTGACGGCGTGTCCTCAGATTTTCTATCAAGCTGGTCCCCAACCACTTGAGTTCTCTCCTTAGTTAGCCCAAGTGAAAGCTACCTGTGATATCTATGCATTTTGCAGTTTTCTGATTCTTGGTTTGTTTAGGTTTTTCTTTTTTTTCTCTTTCCAGAGGCTGAAGAAACCTTGCTGATTGACATCGCCACAAACTGTGAGTCTTCTTTCCACAGAAATGGTGTCAGAAATAGACTTATCTGAGGGCTGACGTGTTGTCTTTCCCACTTGACTCATTGCTCTGCTCCTCTCTCTTTCTTTTTCGGCCTTCTGGAGAGGTTTTCTGGAAAGATGGCTAGGGCTGGAATATTCAGCCATTGCTCTATTGCTCTATCTGGTTCTTCAGGAGAAAACCAAAAGTACTGTATAAAATTCAGCAAGGATGGGGTGAAACCAGGAAGCAGCTGTCCGCTGTGATTACGTAGATAGCTTTGTTTACTTTCAGTCAGGGAGAGGATTAAGAGAGGGTGCCAGTATTCTGGAAAAGGTATTCCAGAAGGCAGCCCCTAGCATCACAAGCCTACATGAGGTCAGAACTCAGGGGTTTCAAAAAAATATTTCAGAAAGTTTGGGGTGATGGAATCGGTAAAGGGTACGTGCCAGGATGACGGTAGAACAGAGGTCGAAAAACTTACGGAGGCTGGCAATCTATTTTCCTTTTTCTCCCCCCAAAAATAAATATTAACCTTTAGGAGACTCATAGTAATGGAACATTGATGCTGGGGGGGAGGGCGGGAAGTTCCAAACAAGTTTGAGGGTGGGTGGATAGACAGTGTTTATGCTTGGTTTTGGTTTAGGGGCAGGAGAGTCCAAATAAGCTTTGACCCAAGTTTGTGCACTTCGTTCTCTCTTGCGCTTTCCCTCTTGCTAAAAGGAAAGTAAATTGCTCTGCTGAAATGAAACATTTTTCAGGTCAGCAATGCAATTTTGGGTGTGTCGGGAGATAGAACAGTGATTTGGGGACAGGGATGGCCTTCTCCTGTTTAGAGAGAGATGGAAGAACGCGCAGGGTGAAATGATTGGAGGCCCATTATAACTGGCTTTCTGACCTTAGTAGCTTCTCAGGTGTATTCTTCGTAACAGCCTGCCAGCCATTTTGGTACAGTAGTTAAGGCACTGGCCTAGAAACCAGGAGACTGAGTTCTAGTCCCATCTTAGGCATGAAAGCTGGCTGGTGAATTTGGGCCAATCACCAGGTGACTGTGAGTTCTGGTCCTGTCTTAGGCGTGAAAGCCAGTTGGCTGACTCTGGGCCAATCACCAGGTGGCTGTGAGTTCTAGTCCTGTCTTAGGCATGAAAGCCAGTTGGCTGACTCTGGGCCAATCACCAGGTGGCTGTGAGTTCTAGTCCTGTCTTAGGCGTGAAAGCCAGTTGGCTGATTCTGGGCCAGTCACCAGGTGGCTGTGAGTTCTAGTCCCGTCTTAGGCGTGAAAGCTGGCTGGTGAATTTGGGCCAATCACCAGGTGGCTGTGAGTTCTAGTCCTGTCTTAGGCGTGAAAGCCAGTTGGCTGACTCTGGGCCAATCACCAGGTGGCTGTGAGTTCTAGTCCTGTTCTAGACATGAAAGCCAGCCACGTGATTTTGGGCGGTCACTGTCCCTCAGCCCAACTCACCTCAGAGAGTTGTTGGGAAAATAGGAAGAGGAAAGAGTATCAAGTACGCCTGGCGCCTTGAGTTATTTATAAAGACAATAAAGGCAGAATAAAAATAAAACCTGAAAACTCTGCTTGCTTCTGAAGATTCCTACACGTGTAAACTTGGGATTCCAAAGACACATCTACCTGTGCAGCTTAGCCAACCCCCAATATAATCCCCCAGTCTCCTCTCTTCAACTAGTGATGCCCAAACTCTTGCATGATCTGCAGAAGGGCTGACCATCCGAGGAAAGACAGTCTGGATTTCTGCCTTCTCAAAGGGCTTCTCCTTTCTGTTACCCAGGAAGAAAAGAAGCCACTGGAGTTTTTTTTTTTAACCTTGGAGTGGAAAAGGGTAGGCTGTGAAGCTTGATGTCTATTTTTATTGCAGATAATATCCTCTGTTTTAGTTTGCGTGCCTTTGCAGTATCTTTTGCTCAGGCGTCGGTATGGCGGAAACGGTGATAAAATTGCAAATTTTGGCAGGGATGGAGGTTGATGTCTTATCTTGCTCTTTCTAAAGCTGAGGGGTTTTGAAATTATCCCCCCCCCGCCTTTTAAATCCCCACCCCCCTGTAAACAGAGCATCCTATGGACCACAGGGGGGGGGGTTGAGAATTTAAGGATCAAAACGGGACCTCAAGCCTTGCAGAACTCATTTTGCTACTTTGAAAAACAAACAAGCAAACAAACAAAAACTCAAAAGAAGCGTTTCAGCTCAGCAACCTTTAGAGAAACATTTGAGCCCATGCAAGTTGCATATTTTTGTTTGAAAGGATCGTGTTACCCTAGGAGCAGCTAGGAAGAAAAGACAACAGATTAAATCTGATTGTTCTCCAGACCTGTTTGACACATACTTTTCCTTATGCATCAGGTGCTAACCTCATTTGACTTCCTTAAATAATCTTTTTGCATTACTTGATGCAGAAAATCTCATTTTTCCCTCCCCCTCTCTTTTTTTTTTTTTAAACCATTCTTTGGAATTAGTCATTAATTAAGCAAATGTAACTGCTGCCGAAGGTCTTATCGTACATTGACTTAAAAAGATGACAGTTAAATGAACATGCAGCCCTTCTGCTTATCTCTTAGCAGCCTGGAAGGAGGGCAAGCTATTAAACCCTGGTTCAAAGAGTATTTATATTGATTTATTGAAAAGCTGATAGCCATAGTTCCTGGACTGTACTAATTGAGAAGGTGAAGCAAGTTTGAGGTTTTGCTGGTTAATTCAAGCTATGAACTTAGGCAAAAGGATGGCTTCATTCTTGACCAGAAATTGTTTGATGTCCCTCCCTCCCTCCCATCCTTCCTTCCTTCCCTCCCTCCCTCCATTTGGTTTTTCATTAGATTTGTATCTCCTATTTCTCAAAATCACAGAGTACTTTGTAGACTGGGTGGTTTGAAAGACAGTGACTGGGCTAACACAACACTCTCAGCTTTTACTTCCTATGGCTAAAGATACAACTGCATGTCTGCTCTCAGTCCACTATCTTAATGGCTGCGCCATGATTTAGTGACTTATTTATATCCAACCATTATCTTTTATAACAACTCAAGGCAACACCCATACCACATACTCCTCTCTCCTCCTCCTTTTTTTCCCACAACAGCCCAGTGAAGTTTGTTGAGCTGAGAGACAGTGGCTGGCCCAAAATCACCCAACCAGCTTCCTACCGAAGGTAGGACAGGAATCCAGAGTCGCCTGGTGTGTGATTGCCCCATAGTCACCCGGCTGGTTTTTCATGCCTAAGATGGAACTACATCTCTCAAGTCTCTTGGTTTCTGGCCTGGCGCCTTTACCACTACTGCCTTTGAGAAGATGAGTCTCTCATGGATATCTGAGTCTTTTCACTCGAGCAGGCCAGCCATGTACACTTATCTATCCCAAAATGTATCTCATTCAGATGTTCTTGTTCCATTAAGGTTCTTCCACGCCCTGCGGCTTTTTTTGCAACGAGAGCTAGACATCCTTATTATGAGAATGTTTCCTCTTCTTTCGTTTAGCACAGTGGTTCTCAACCTGTGGGTCGGGACCCCATTTGGGGTCGAATGACCATTTCACGGGGGTTGCCAAACAAGGCTGTCCGTCATTTTTCCCCCCTTTTCTTTGGCCACGCCCCTGGCACTCGGTGATGTATAAGTGGTTGGGGGTCACCACAACATGGGGAACTGTATTATGGGGTCGCGGCATTAGAAAGGTTGAGAACCACTGGTTTAGCATAATGTACTATATGTGCTTGGATTTCCAGCTCATGCAGCTTAGGTGCAGCGGGCTCAAAGTCTAAACAGGGTGCAGTGCCATATTTCTCCCCCCCCCCCCCCGCAGTAACACATTTTCCAGAGTAGAGGATCAGAGCCCATCCTGCTCTTTGATTGTCCTGATCTTCAGAGCAGCCCCAATTTCAAAGCCAGTCCGGTTTTGAGCGAAGTTGGTGCTTCCAATAGTTGCTGTGGCCTTTTCCTCTCCCTTCGCGCTCTTTGAATACTCCCCCCCCCCGTTCTATCCTTTTAAAGTAAATTGCGATCGGCTGTGTCCGTTCTTGGACTTATCGGCGCTGACGGGCCTGTTTCCTGAACGTGTGCTTTTCTTGTCTTCTGCTTCAAAGCTGGTTGCAAGATCCGCCTCCAGGGAGACCACACCACAGAGCGTCTGTTTGAGATTCCAGACGAGGAGCAATGCTTGGAGTTCCTTGCTGAGGTGCTAAGGCTTCAGAAAGGTGATTGTTCCGTTCCTTGTGATGTCATTAATGAAAACTGAGTCGGTGATGAGCAGGGCTGGTGGTGACACAGGTGTCTTTTTTTTTTTCTTCCAGCCTCGACAAAAACACTTTCCCCCGAATTGGTGGACCATGCCTCCTGGAACCAAGTGAAAGGCCTCTCGGGGCCCGTGGATCCTCTTCCTGCAGGTAAAGGCCTACCTGTCTTGCACACCTCACCCGGTGCCGGTTCGTTTAGCAAACCCTTCGAATACCGAAACTCCTCTGGCTTCCTGAAGGGGTGGCCTTGTGTTCCCAGGGCCTTGCCTGGAAGCCCTCTAGAGAGTCTTGAGAGTCAGCTCCCAGAATCCCCCAGTTATCGAGGACACACTGAGAATTCTGGGAGTGGAAGCTGAGGTTGGAAAAATCTGGGCTCCATCCAGAAGGAAGTTATCAGGTGGCCATGGTGCTGGGGAGATGGGGAATAGGAAGTAATCCTCTTCAAACTCTAGCTAGCCTTATTTCTTCCGTTCTGCTCTTTGATAATAATAATAAGAAGAAGAAGAAGGAGGAGGAGGAGGAGGAGGAGAGCGAGGAGAAGAAGAAGAAGAAGAAGAAGAAGAAGAAGAAGAAGAAGAAGAAGAAGAAGAAGAAGAAGAAGAAGAAGAAGAAGAAGAAGAAGAAGAAAGAAGAAGAAGAAGAAGAAGAAGAAGAAGAAGAAGAAGAAGAAGAAGAAGAAGAAGAAGAAGAAGAAGAAGAAGAACAGCAGCAGCAGCAGCAGCAACAACAACAACATGAACAAAAACAACTTCAGCTTGGCTCAAAATGCATGTTGTAAAGTGGGAAATTACCAAAAGTCTGGCTTGCCATGAAAGTTTATGGAGAACTGGAGTAACAATGCTTTCCTCCCCCACTTCCAGCTCTTTCTGGAAGAAGAAAGTTGGAAGGGACCTTGGAGGTCATCTAGTCCAACCCCCTGCTCAGGCAGGAAACCCTACACCATTTCGGACAAATGGCTCTCCAGTCTCTTCTTAAAAACTTCCAGTATTGGAGCATTCACCGCTTCTGGAGGCAGATTGTTCCACTGATTAATTGTTCTCACTGTCAGGAAGTTTCTCCTTATTTCCAGGTTGCTTCTCTCTTTGGTTACTTTCCATCCATTGCTTCTTGTCCCGCCTTCAGGTGCTTTGGAAAATAGCTTGACTCCCTCCTCTTTGTGGCAACCCCTGAGATACTGGAACACTGCTATCCTGTCTCCCCTTGTCCTTCTCTTCGTTAAACTAGACATCCCCAATTCCAGCAACCGTTCCTTATATGTTTTAGCCTCCAGTCCCCTGATCATCTTTGTTGCTCTTCCTGGAATGCTTCTGAAGGCTAACTTGAAAGCTTCTCCTTGTCTTCAGGCCTTCTGGGGTTCGAGGATAATTTCAGCGCCATAAGCCTGGAGAAGAAAAGGAACTTGCAGAACCAGCAGATGAGTGCCCGCCGAGAGCCTCCACCCCCACCCCAGCTTCCCATCCGGTCGTAAGTCATCTCAGAGTGGGACGTCCCGGGGTTCTGTTGCACAGGCCAGCTGGACTCCATGCCTTGTTCCCTCTAGATACCCCCGCGAGAAGGAGAGCGTCAACAAGGACCCACCCAAAGGCAGCAACACGATGCGCACGTTCTTCACGCCGTCCCGCCACACGCAATCCGGGCAACGGGAAGGACTCATCAAGCACTTTGTCCTTAAGCGAGAGAAGGAGTATGTCAACATCCAGAACTTCAGGTGAGGGCCTGGCGTGAACATCCTGCAGGGGGCGTTTCAGCATTGCCGGTCCATTTCGAAGGAAAGATGGAGCAGGATTGAGACACACACACACACACACACACACACACACACACACACACCACCTAAGAAGCTTGATCCCTAGACCTGGAGTCTTTTGCAGAGGGGATACAGGCGATCCTTAACTCACGACCACAATTAAGCCCAAAATTTCTGTTATTAAGCGAGACATTTCTTAAGTGAGTTTTGCCCCATTTTATGCCCTGTCTCGCCACGGTGGTGTAAGTGAACCACTGCAGTTGTTAGCAACACCGTTGTTAAGTGAAATCAGGCTTGTCAGAAGGTGGCAAAAGGGAGTCACATGACCCTGGACACGGTCGTAAGCGTGAACCGGTTGCCAAGCGTCTGAATTTTGATCCCGTGATTGTGGGGATGCTGCGAAGGTGGTAACTGCAAACAACGGTCCTGGGTCCCTTTTTTTCAGTGCCGTTGTAACTTTGAACGGTCACTCAACGAACTGTTGTAAGTCAAAGGCTTCTTGTACTTTCGGGTTGTGCGAGACCAGAAGTGGCAGCTTCACGTTTGTGTTGCTACTGATTGAGCCTCCCTGATTGGAGGCAGCCTCTTTCTTTTCATTGCTGGGCTGAAGTTCTCTCACCTGGAGGGATTTCTCCTGCCTCGGCCACTCAGCTTCCTTCTGTGTGTTGCAGGTTTTTTATAGGGACCTGGAATGTCAATGGACAGTCGCCGGACAGCGGTTTGGAGCCTTGGCTGATCGCAGACCCGGAGCCTCCAGACGTCTACTGCGTAGGGTGAGATGCCAAAGAAGCCAGGGCTTCGTTAACGCCATGTTTGCCTTCCGTTGGCCACCACACCGGTTCTGTCTCTGGTTTTTTTTTTTAACGGAGACTTTATTCACTCCAGTCCTGTTCATTGCAATCATTAGCTTTAAATTTGGCCCAGGGAGACAAATAATCCCCAGGATTTTGTCATAGTTGAAGTTGGTGGAACTTCAAAATGGTTGGCTTTATCTACCTGGTGCCCTGACTTGTATTTTCCACTAGGCTCCTGTTAGCTTCTCCAGGCTCAAAACAGAAGGTCTTTGTCTTCTTCCCTCTGGCTTTTTCCTCTTAGCCTCTAAGCTTCTTACTCTCATCATAATTTACTTAGAAGTTAGAATGACATCTGGCTTTGAAAGCCGAAGTTCTTCGTGTCTGGCCTGGATGTCACTATTTGCTGCTGGGCCAGCTTCATCATGGGGTTCTCTGTAGGGAAGTTGGATCCTCATGTTGGTGATTCTTCCTTCCCTTCCTTATTCCCCAGAAGCAAAGGGCTGGTAAGGGTCCACTTACCTCCAGGAAGGGAAAGGAAGCTTTAACCGGGTTTGTAAATGTTAAGTACGTTGTCTTGAGCTCTCTGGGAAAAGGATGGATGGACGGATAGACAGTTCTGGACTAGTCCCTGACTGCAATAAGGATTCTTCTCCAAAAACAGTAGCAACAGCACCAACTAGCTTTGGAAGTGACTGCTTCAGTAGCAATAGCACTTAGACTTATGTACCACTTCACAGTGCTTTACAGCCCTCTCTAAGCGGGTTAGAGTCAGCCTCTTGACCCCAACAATCTGGGTCCTCATTTTACCAAACTCGGAAGGAGGGCAGGCTCAGCCAACCTTGAGCCGGTCAGGATCGAACTGCTGGCAGTGGGAATGAAGAGTTAGCCCGCAATACTGCATTCTAACCACTGCTCCACCTTCAAGCAGAGGAGGGCTGACGATGAGCTGACCATCGGCTTGTTGAGGCCACGCTCAGCAGATGCCGAACTCTCTCTGTCTCTCCAGGTTCCAGGAGCTGGACCTGAGCACAGAAGCCTTTTTCTACTTTGACTCAAACAAAGAGCAAGAATGGCTGACGGCCGTGGAGAAGGCCTTGCACCACAAAGCCAAGTACAGGAAAGTAAGTCCAGCTCCTTCGTCCTGTTGCAGTCAAGCTAGACAGCTCCTTGATCAGAGCCGGTCCTGAGAGCGGAACAGCCATTCTAGGATCTCCAACCTTGCAGGTCCAGCTCGTCCGTCTGGTTGGCATGATGCTGCTGATCTTTGCCAGGAAGGAGCAGATGGACTTCATCAAAGACGTGGTGGCAGAGACGGTTGGCACCGGGATCATGGGCAAGATGGTGAGTGGGCAGCTGATGTTGGGTTCCCTTCCTCCTCACCACCTCCAACCAACGCTTTCTTTTTTTATTAATTTTTTCCATGCAATCAAATAGTACTTATTCAGCGTGTTGTCTTGAGTTTATCATTCCCTAATACAGATTTAATTCCTAACCCTTTATTGTTTTCTCCAGCCATTGATAAAACAAGTGCCAAGTCTGATAGTATTCTGTTTCTTCTTTTTCTTTCAACCTCGTAGTAAGTCTGTCCATTTCCGCACATTCTAGTATTTTTTTTTAATTATTTCTTCCTCTGATGGTATTGCCTCATTTTTCCAATATTGTGCAAATATGATTCTTGCCGCTGTTATCACGTGTGAAATCAAATACATGCTTTGTTTATCAATCTTTTCTGGCATAATGCCTAATAAAAAAAAGTTCAGGTTTAAAATCTACAAGTTTTCCCAACCTCTTTTCTAGCCAAGTATGTATTTTTTTCTCCAGTACCTCTTTGCTTTAACACATATCCACCATACGTGGTAATAAGTACCTGACTTGTGTTTACATTTCCAACATCTATCTGACATATTTTTAAACATTTTTGCCATTCTTGCTGGTGGCAGGTGCCATCTGTGAAACGTTTTGTATAAATTTTCTTTATCAGAAGCTGCCATTGTCAGCTTATAATTTCTTTTCTTTCTTTCCAACGCTTCCTTCTGCTCTTCCTTCTTTCCTCCCTTTGCTGCTTCCGCAGGGCAACAAGGGAGGTGTGGCCGTCAGATTTGTCTTCCACAATACCAGCTTCTGCATCGTCAACTCCCATCTGGCTGCCCACGTGGAGAACTTCGAGCAGCGCAACCAAGACTACAAGGACATCTGTGCCCGCATGAGCTTTCAGGTTCCTGACCAGAATCTGCCACAGCTGACCATCATGAAACACGAGTGCGTCTGAAGGGCGGGACACGGGTGGCGTGGAGAGAAGCTCAGCGGGGCTGCGTTACTGACTGGTTGAGGGAAAGCGGAAAGTGATACGTTGTGCTCAGTGAAATAAACACAGTCATTGACCTCCAAGCCATCAAGAAAGAATTCACAGCCACAGAAAGATATTTAAGTTGGGTCATATCTGTGGCGTGCTTAAATAAACTAAGAGGAGGCTTTTTTTAGATTAGATAGCATAATACGTTGTTACGAACTCTGTTTTTGTTGGGGGGGGGGTTTCCCTTTCTGATTCTGGCGAGCAGAGTTTGGAGAAATGAATGGACTCGTCTTTCTCATTGCTTGGCTGAGGTTTCTTTGAGTCTCTTTGGCCAAGAATTGCCTACTTGGGATGGAGCAGTAAGGGAAGCCGTAATAAAACCATGCTGTTAGTGTTAACGAACAATAGTAATTATATCCTAATTTATTTTTTGAGTTTTACTGCAGACCATTCTCAGTGGGACAGATCAGTACAACAACTCTGAAAGAATTTAATAAGACATCCAAACAATATAGTAAGGGATGCAGGTTCGTAGACAGTCTTGCAGAATTCGGAGAGAAGAGATTCAGAGGACCTTCAAAAATATTATTATTATTATTGATCATCGCACAGTCAGCCAGATGTTCAGACTGGATTTGGCATTTTGTCTACCTATCGAGTCCTTACCCAGGACCTGGGATAGGCAGATGTGGATGTTTGATGGTATTACAGATATCGTCGCAGGATGGAAGCAGTTCCTAGTAAGGCTGCCTTTTGCAATTGACTAATAGCGAATTTGTCAAAGCCAATGGTGTTCAAGTGGTGCTCCAGTTGTTTTGGGATTGCACCCAAGGAGCCTATCACTATTGGTACTACCCTTGATTATTATTATTATTATTATTATTATTATTGTTGTTGTTGTTGTTATTTAGCACAGAAATTATATCACGATGTGCATCAGAACTTTGCCAGAAAGGCTGTTTCCAAATGCAAATGCGTCAATGCCACAAAAAGATGTTTTGCGTGATCGTGATGCTCATGTTCTGACTCAGGTAGCAGAAGCTATCCAGGGAAGGAGCATCATGGAAGATACGTATCAGTGAGTTTGGGCCGGTAGTTTTACAGATCTTCTGGTCCAAACCCACAAGGTTTTAAAGGTTCTTAGAAAGAGATCAGGGGCCATGTAGTGTTACCACCCTATTTTGTCATCCTCTTCTAGAACTTTCCAGATAACAACCCAGCGATTCTTCTCCGGGCTAAGCCGGCGATAACAGGTTCTGTCCTCTTTCCTTCAGAATTGTCATCTGGCTGGGAGATCTGAACTACCGGCTTTGCCTGCCTGACGCCAACGATGTAAAAAGTCTAATCAGTAAAAACGAGCTTCAGAAACTGCTCACGTTTGACCAGGTGAGAGGGGAAGGTAGGCAGGAATTGCCTGGAAGTTCTGTTTTTAAAGTTGAAATATCTATTCCCCCCCCCCCTCCTGAATACAATCCCTCCCCTGTGAGACAGGCTTAGGCTGCCTTCATCCGGCGATTTAATCATTAGGATTTGTGAACATGGGATGGTTGTGCCGTCTGAAAATCATTTATCTAATGTTGGTCATTGTGGTTAATATCAAGGCTTGGATTACATTCATCGAACTCCAGCTTGCATTGGCTGTTTGGAAGTTTAAGCTCCCTTTCATTGTTTCGTAGTTGCCTATCCCTCCTCCAAATTAATAAAATCTACATTAATTAACATTAATTATGCTTTCATATGTTCCTCCAGGCCAGGGGTAGGCAACCTTGGCTCTTTTATGACTCCTGGACTTCAACTCCCAGAATTCCTGAGCCAGCCTGGCTCAGCATGGAAACCTCTCCCTTTTCCCTCAGCATGGCTGGCTCAGGAATTCTGGGAGTTGAAGTCCACCAGTCATAAAAGAGCCAAGATTGCCTACCCCCTGGGATAGACAGTCTGGGTGACGTTGGCTTGACCGGTTGTTGCCTTTTGCTTGCAGCTGAATATTCAGCGTACCCAAAAAGCAGCTTTTGCTGATTTCACAGAAGGCGAAATCAAGTTCATCCCCACGTACAAATACGACTCTAAAACAGATCGCTGGGATTCCAGGTAAGAATCTCCCCCCCACACACACACCCCGATAGTTAAATCAGCACTTTCCACCCACCTGCCCCTAACTCAACAGTCCTGTACCCCCCAAAAAATGGGAGGATAGATTCCCATACAAAAGGATGGATCTCATGAACTGAAATTTGTTTGGCCCAGCGATCCTAGAGGGGGTTAAAATGTGGTGAGCATCCTGCAGGCTTCCAGAGTATCCCTGATGCCGATCCTATCTCCTTCCAGTGGAAAATGCCGTGTGCCAGCTTGGTGTGACCGGATTCTCTGGCGAGGAGGCAACATCAGCCAGCTCCAATACCGCAGCCACATGGAGCTAAAAACAAGCGACCACAAGCCCGTCAGCTCCCTCTTCCTCATAGGGGTAATTCCATTCCGTTTCTGAGCCGTGGTCCCTGCTTGAAGCTGGTTGGAGTTTAGGGTCAGCAAAGCCTTCCTGGAAACAGCCTTGTTCCTTTTCTACAAGGCCAGGTTGTCAAGCTGCTGGCTCCACTCTCTGGAAGTTGTCCAGATGTTGGTCGAGTAAGGTATCTCCGCTCATTTTAGAGTCCTTTCTTCAAATATGCAATCTGGTTTTTCCCAAAGGTGAAAGTTGTAGATGACAAACGGTATCGGAAAATATTTGAGGACATTGTTCGGATGATGGACAGGATGGAGAACGACTTCCTTCCATCCGTGGAGCTGAGCAGGAGGGAGGTAAGAGAGGGGGGGGGAAACCCTTTCCTTCCTGAAGGAGAAAGTTCTTCAACCATGGGAAGCCCATCTTGGCTGTCTTCCAGATGTATTGGACTTCCACTCCCACTCTCTTAACCTGCATGACCTTGGGAATTGATTCCAACACATTGGCCCCAAAGTGAATCTGCTCCAGAAAGACCCAGATTCTTCAGAAGAAGGCAAATTCCTAAAGTGGTTGTGTGATCCACGGATCCTTCTTGTGAAAGCTTAAAAAGTAGAAGCCAATTCGGGTGTTGGGAGCAGGTTCCCTTTTCTGCTGAAAAATATTCAGGGGTTGTTTTTTCTTCTTCTTCTTCTTCTTCTTCTTCTTCTTCTTCTTCTTCTTCTTCTTCTTCTTCTTCTTCTTCTTCTTCTTCTTCTTCTTCTTCTTCTCCTTCTCCTTCTCCTTCTCCTTCTCCTTCTTCTCCTTCTCCTCCTCCTCCTCCTCCTTCTTCTTCCTCCTCCTCCTTCTTCTTTCTTCTTTCTTCTTTCTTCTTTCTTCTTTCCTTTTTCTTTTTCTCCTTCTCCTTCTCCTTCTCCTTCTCCTTCTCCTGCTTACTTTGTGCCCACAGTTCTCTTTTGAGAATGTAAAGTTTCGGCAACTTCAGAAGGAGAAATTCCAGATCACAAACAACGGTCAAGTCCCCTGCCACTTCTCCTTTATCCCCAAGCTCAACGACACGCAGTACTGTAAACCATGGCTTCGTGCTGAACCCTGCGAAGGTTATTTGGAACCAAGTGAGTCTGGAGAAACACATTGAAGTCCTATTCCCTCCCCTGCCCCCATGCCTCTTCGTGGTAGGGAGCTGAGGAACTGAGTCCACCTTAAAGGTTCAGTCTTGAAGCTTCCGTGATCTTCTCCCTTCCCCACCCCAGATGAGACGTTGGACATCTCCTTGGACGTCTACGTCAGCAAGGACTCGGTGACCCTCCTCAATTCGGGGGAGGACAAGATCGAGGAGATCCTGGTCCTTCACTTGGACCGGGGCAAGGATTACTTCCTCACCATCAGCGGCAACTACCTGGTCAGCTGCTTTGGGACCTCCTTGGAAGCCCTGTGCCGGATGAGGCAGCCCATCCGTGAAGTCCCCGTCACGAAGCTCATCGATCTGGTAGGAAGCTGAGGGAGCCTCCCGGGATTTGGATGGTAGCTGAGCTCACGGAGTCTCTCGCTTCCTCGCTTGCCTGCTTGAGCCTCCATCCCTGCCGGTGCCGCCGGCCGCCGAGGGACGTGGGCCCTCCCAATCGGCATCTGCAGCTTTGCGCTGGCTTTTCCTGTGCGCTGTCCAAATCCTGCCGGTTCCTCCTCACTGAATCAGCAGATCTTCTGTTTCCATCTGCCCTTTAACCCAAGCTTCCCTTCGCGCATTTGCTTTTATCGCAGGCATTTCCCCCACCATCTGGCTTCTGACTTCCCCGTAGATGGTGGCTCCTTTCCCTGCTTTGGACTCGTGCCAGTAACGCATTTTTGTGTCTTTTCTTTCTTCTTCTTCTTCTTCCTTTCGCCTCTTGCCTCCTCCGTGTGCTCTCAGGGAGACGACGGCTGCCTAGAACAGGTAAAGGGCCGGGAAGCACCCCCAGTTCTCTTGGTAGCCTGGGCGGGGGGGGGCGGGGGGGAAACAGACTGACACGGAACAGAGGGGGCACCGAGCGGAGAGAAATGCAACATTTTTCACTTGGGGAGGTGTGTGAAGCAGTCTGAATCGGGCTTAATTATGGGATGGGGAACGCACAGCTCGGTGGTGGTGTCTGTGGTGAAGGAGGTTGGAATCGTATCTGTGGTCCTCGTCTTACGGCCGCGGTTGAACCCACAATTTCTGTTGCTCAGCGAGACATTTTGCTAACTGAGCTTTGCCCCGTTTTACGGCCGTTTTTGTCACGGCTGTTAAGCGAATCCTTGCAGATGTTAAGTTAGTAACCCAGTTGTTAAGTGAATCCGGCTTCCCCCGTTGACTTTGCTCGTCAGAAGCTCTCAAAAGGGGATCACGTGACCCCCCCGGGACACGGCAACCGTCATAAATACGAGCCAATTGCCAAGCGTCCGAATTCTGATCACGTGACTCTGGAGATGCTGCAAAGGTCGTAACTGTGAACAACAGTCGCCCGTCGCTTTTTTCCAGTGCCGTTGTAAACTTTGAACGGTCACCAAATGAACTGCTGTAAGTGGAGGATCACCTGTGATGGAGGCACAAGGGATCTAGTGGCACAGATCCTAAAAGGGATTTGTGTTAGCGGTGTGATGTGGATGTTTTTAAAAAGACAAGTTTTAAACTGTTATCGGAATGAATAGCTTCCAGACTGCAGAACGTAGCAACTCTATGGTGGTTCGATCTCACCTTGATTTCGAAGTCCAGTCCTGGATTTTCATAAGAATTCAGATAAACTGGAAGAAAATGAAAGAAGTGCAGCAAAGATGATTAGTGGCTGGAAAGGAGAAAGGGGAGGTGGTGATAGTTAATCCAGTTAATTTCTAGAATCAAGAGGTCCTACAGCATATAGCAATGCTAGCTGTGAAGCCCAACGAGGTAGAAGGTTGATGGCCATCTGCAAAGGATGCTTGGTGGAGAAGACATCTGGACTTCATGGCTCTAAATGTTCCTTCCAGTTCAGTGACTTTAGCACAAGGGAGGACAACTTCCTTGATCACACTCTGCCTGGAAAAGGGGTGTAATCAAATGATTTGATTATTGGTGGGACTAATCAAGAATCGGGTATGATCAATGGCAACCAGCAGAAGCAAAGTAGGCTTCCTACATTGGCCGTTCTTGCTGTCATAACTCTCGCAGAAATTTCTATCGGGGAAGGCAAACACCGGCCGTTGCCAGAATAAACAAATGAATATCTCTCTTGCTCTCTTTTTTTCCCCTCCTGCTGTAACCGTAGCCACACTGGCTATTTTGCTCAGGAATCAAGAGTGGCATCTGTAAAATAACCAGAGAAGCTTTGCTGGAGTCCAAAACCCATTTCGATGAATCTAAAAACCAAACGAAGGAACCCGTCTTGCTTAGTGTTGCTGGGGCAAGCGCTGATCTGAAATGAGCTTGTGGGTTGGTTGGTTTGTTTTTACTTTCCCCTCCTCTTCCGATCCACCGTAGGTCCAATTTCAGATGGGAGAAGTCATCCCTGTGCTGCTACTAAAAAAAAAAAAAAAGAATGATTCGCTCTCCATCGTCTGCCATTCCACTGAGAGGTTGTAATCAGCCCAGCCTAGACTGTGAAGAAAATGTAGATTTTTTGCAGTAAGAGAAGTCGGTCTCATGGATGCGACAAAGCAAAGAGGCAGCTTATTGACCTTCCAGTGGGGGGGGGAGAACGGGACATAATATACGCCCTTCCAACATTCGGAGGTTCTGATGCCAACCCCTTTGCTTTTCCATCAGGAGAAGTCTCTTCTGAAGATGGTGCCTCAGGATGAAGACTCTAGTGACCGGCCTTTGCACATACCCAAGGAGATCTGGCTCCTGGTGGACCACCTCTTCAAGAATGCCTGCCATCAGGTGTGCTTCAGGGAACATCTAAGACCTGGGGGTGGGGGGTTTCTCCAAACTTGGCAACTTTTAAGACTTGTGAACTTCAGCTCCCAGAACCCATGCTAGCTGGCAGGGGAATTCTGGGAGTTGAAGTCCACAAGTCTTAAAGTTGCCCGAGTTTGGAGAGCCCCGATCAAAGTCCACCTGGCTTTACGCATTGTCACGGTTGGTTTTGACGAATTGGCAATAAGAACTCTGCCGTTTCTTTCTTAGGGCACGGTTAGCTTTGCCCATCGCAACTCAGCTCCTGCTGGGGTTGACGAATCACAATTAATTACCTAGCACAGGGGTAGGCAACCTTGGCTCTTTAATGACTCGTGGACTTCCACTCCCAGAATTCCTGAGCCAGCTTGGAAACCTCTCCCTTTCCCCTCACCATGGCTGGCTCAGGAATTCTGGGAGTTGAAGTCCATGAGTCATAAAAGAGCTAAGGTTGCCTACCCCTGGCCTAGTGTGTTAAAGCAAAGGCAAGCAAGCCTGTATGATGTCCTAGCATGTTTCCTGTGTCCAACATGAGTGTTACATGGAACTTGTCTCTGGCAGGAGGATCTGTTCCAGACCCCTGGCATGCAAGAAGAACTGCAGGATATTATCGAGTGTCTGGACACCAGCATCCCGGAGTCCATCCGTATCCTTTTCTTGCTCAAGGCGACCAATCAGCTTAGTTGGTCTGGACTCTGCTTTTCTTTATATGAGGCTTCTAGTCTCCTCACTTGGGGCACAGGTAGTCCTTGAGTTATGACCATAATGGAGCCCGCATATAATGGTCTTAAGTTGTGGCAGTCACAAAACGGGCCAGTGGCCCGATCGATCTGATTTTATGTTTTTCACAGTGATCATTAAGCAAACGCTACCCTTGTACGTGTGAATGATGTGATCGATCAAGCAAACCCATTCTCCGTCAGGGTTGTGGTTTTGCAGAAAAGCAGAAGGAAGTGCTGTTTTTTCACCCAAAAGCATCATAAAATGCGGCCACAGGACACTGCAAAGAGCTATCAAGGCAGCCGTGTTGCCGAGTGCCCAAAATACAATCAGATGACTGGGGGGGGGGGATTTGAGGAACTTTGGACCAGGCCAAAGTTTTCAGGTAGGTCATAATTTCAAAGGGTCTACTTGTTCCCCTAAGCCTGTGAGTTGGGTTGTAGGATGAGCCTACTTGGTGAAGAGGAAGCAACAAGGGGAGGAACGGAGGGAGGGAGGGCACTGCACCTGCTTGGGAGGAGGCAAAGTCCGGACTTTGGTGGCAGACCCCCTCTTCCTTGACGGGGGACTCTCAGCTGGCAGCAATCACTCCGTGGCTGAAGCTCTGCTCATCTTCCTCGAGGCCCTTCCCGAGCCCGTCATCTGCTACGAACTCTACCAGCGCTGCCTTGACTGCTCCCAGGATAGTCGCCTCTGCCGGCAGGTAGGACCCCAAGCAACTATTCATCTAGGTTCATCCTGGTCACGTTTCCCACTTTCAGCAGTTGAGGGACCGCGTTTTGCTTCCCACTGGCATCAGTATCTCCAGCGAGGCCAACCCTGTCCCGGGGGAGTAGGTCACGGTCAGCAATTCCTTTGCCTTTGTCGCTCTCCTCTCAGTCCCAGCATGGACTGTCCATGCACAGACAGTTGCACTGCCTCTGGATGGGGTAAGCAGAGAGCCGGTATCAAGGGTCAGTACCATCAGCGCCTCTCCAGCGAAGGTGCTGTGGTCGTAATTCTCCTTTCTTTATAAGAGCCCTGGGGGGGCGCAGTGGTTAGAATGCAGTACTGCAGGCTAACTCTGCATTCCCACTGCCAGGAGTTCGATCCTGATCGGCTTGAGGTTGACTCAGCTTTCCATCCTTCCGAGGTCGGTAAAATGTGGACCCAGATTGTTGGAGGGCCATACACTGACTCTATAAACCATTTAGAGAGGGCTGTAAAGTACTGTGAAGCGGCATACAAGTCTAAGTGCTATTGCTAGTGCTCTTTCTGCTTTCCTTCCTTCCATAACTGTCGACTGCCAGCAGTCCGATCCTGACCAGCTCAAGGCTGACTCAGCCTTCCATCCTTCCGAGTTTGGTCAAATGAGGACCCAGATTGTTGGGGCGATAGGCTGACTCTGTAAACTGCTTAGAGAGGGTTGCAAAGCGGTATATAAGTCTTAAGTGCTATTGCTCTTGCTTTGCAGGTCATTTGTCAGTTGCCACGCTCACACCGGAATGTCTTCCGCTACGTGATGGCCTTCCTGCGAGAACTCCTGAAATACTCGGAGAGCAACAACGTCAGTGCCAACATGCTAGGTGAGAACCAACCAGGTGGCCTGGCGCCTCTCCCCTCCCCTCTCCTCTCCTCCCCCCCAACCCTTTATCTCACCCAAACGTTTGCTTTCTCCCAGCCACCCTTTTTGCCAGCCTCCTCCTGCGGCCTCCACCCAACCTCGTCTCCAAGCAGACTTTGCAAGATCGCCAGCGAGCCAACGGTTTCATCCTGGGCTTCCTGTTGGGAGCAGATGACTACTAAGGACCTGGCATGCATGCTCTGAGCCAGCCAAGGGGCAAAGGAAGAGAGAGGCCCAGGTTCTGGGCTCTGGGACAGTTATTACAGGGATAAGATGCTTCCCAACACTGCGTGAGACTCCCTGTTCTTAAGTTTCATCTGTGCCGGTCGCTGGTTGCAGAAGAAGAGGGTCCTGGTCACTTAGCAGGCAGCCCGTTTGCTGATCTTGGCCGGCACGTGGTAACCGCTCCGTCCACTCCCTGTCTAGTACTGTATTTCCTCGCCTTTTGCTCCACCAGTCTAATCCCTTAGGTAGAGACCAGTTCTCTGTTGGGAAGGCAGCGAGGTGCCCGCCACAGCCCGTCTATCTCTTAGCCTGCTTTGTACAATTCAGTTGTCTGTTCCCGTCTGCGGCCCTTGCTCACAGCCCAGCTGGTCTCCCACTGTAGTACCACTTGTACTTCACAAAACACACCACACACTGCCAAAGCAGAAGTGGGAGGGGGGTGGAAAGGTCGGGGCAGCAGATGCTTGCTTTCAAGCGAGGTCCAGGTTGTTGGTTCCCTTCCCTTGCGGTTCTGCCTTTTTGTCTTTCCGGTTGTCTGTTTCAGGTTTCTGTACTTTGTGCATATTCACTCTTTTTCTCTCTCTCTCTCTTTTTTTTAACTGTATAATTTATTGGGAAAGTTGTTTCAAAATAAATCCACATTGTGCAAAAGGCGTCCTGGTATTGGGGGCAAGGAGTGGAGTGGCTGAACTGCTCTCCAAGGCTCTGTCGGGGATCCTCAGCAATGCTAAGGGATGGAGGGTTTTGGAAACCTTGCGAATCTCGGCAAAGGGGAAACTTTGCCCGAGTTCACACATTGCACAAAGCCGTGGTGTTACTTATACAAAGGCAACCTTGTGGTGTGGAAGCCAACTCAGTTAAACACAGGTGACCTGTGTTTAAGCGAGCTATAACACATAGCATGATTTGCAAATATGGCTATTGAGATTTACAACAGGAACGGAAAGCGGAACAAAACGCGGAGCTGAATGGCGAGTAACCTGGGAAATATGTGTATGGGCTCCTTGGGTGCTCTCTGAGCTTGGCTGTTTTCTTGCAGACGTTTCATTACCCAACTAGGTAACAGCATCAGTGTAGTTCACAGAAAGAAAGCCTGCAGTATTATGTGGCAGCATCCTATATAATTCCATATCTGCTTACTCCGTGGAATCTGCTCTAATGTTTTAGGACAGTGATGGCGAACCTTTTAGAGACTGAGTGCCCAAACTGCAACCCAAAACCCACTTATGCATCATCGAGTGCCGGGTGGGTGTGGCCCATTGACTGGGTGTGGCCCATTGGGTGGGCATGGCTGCAGTGGTCACGGCAGAGTGGGTGGGACTAAAAAGTTCAATCAATTCCAACTTTGCAAGATCTTTTTTTTCCCGCGAGAAGTTGAAATTGACTGATTGAACCTTTTTTTTTTTTTTTGCACATGGCGGCGGAGGCCTAAAGCAAAAAGGTTTTATAAAACCCAGCTGAAGGCCTAGGACTGGGGCGATGGTGCACAGAGAGGGCTCTGAGTGCCGCCTCTGGCACCCGTGCCACAGGGTCGCCACCATTGTTTTAGGACCTCACCAGGCCTGTTTCAAACAGCCTTGCTTTGCTCATGGAGCCATCTCTTCTTAGGGGGACCTTGCCTCTTCTTCCATGGCTTTGCTTGGTGCCGCAAGGTCTCCTCTCTTTCTATGCCAAAACCTCCACATTTTTTTTTCTTAGCGCTTTGATAACCTCAGAACATGGGGGGCATTGAGGATTCTCGACCCAAGCAATTATATGGAGGGTTGCTGACGCAGGAAAATGAGCTTGGCTGCAGTGATAGGTTCCAAGTCACTGGGCATGTTGGCTTCCTCCAGGTAGAAGCTGGTGTTCAAATACCCAAAGTTAGGGGTTTTTCTGCTTCACCAGGCATCGGTCTGTGTGAAATCTTCCTTGCAATGCAATGCTTCAGAGGAAGAAGGATTTCTAGCATAAGGACAAGGCGGGGTCGAAGGGAGAAGAAGGGTCAACCCATGAATCTGTGAAAAAAGAACTGGAAATTATGAGAAAGGAGGACGGGGGGGGGCAGCTGTCCGTTATTATTTTTCCCAGTTCTACTCCCACACCCCCAAAAGTGCTTTTAATCAAGACTCCTTTAAGGAAGCTGGACCTTCCCAGAGTTTTTTTTTTTTTAAATCTAGGAATTCTTCTTTCAAAGGTTGAAACCATCATCTCTAAGATAACTAATTTGCTGATAGACGTGACAAGACAGAAATGTTATTTGGGTGATTGACCAATAAAGCATATTCAATAAAAACAAACAAAACAGCAAAGAACTATTGACAACCCCTTGTGGGCAAAACAACAACCAGAAGACATCCTTTTCCAGATTGGCCTGTCAAAGAGTTTGGAAAGTAAAGGTCGCGTTCTTTTTAAAATGGCTAAGAGTTATTAGCGATCCATCCGCAGGACCTCTCAACTTCTCCTGGGCTCTCAAGAAAAGATTGGATCAGCTCTCTTGTTGGGCTTTGCTCTCCTGCTGCCACCCCGCAATGATGCGTTCCCTAGCTGTGTGTCAAAGCGGTACACAGAGCACACGGTACTTCTGCAGAACCTCTTTCTATCAGTTGATGGATGGATGGATCATCTGCAGAGGTTGCATTTCAACCACTCGGATTTTCTGTGTTCCATGTCACAAGGGGAAAAAAAGACGTTTCCTCTAGCTTGTGGAGCTTTCAGGCGTCCCTTCGGAGGATTCGCTTCTTCCAGTGAACCCACTTTCTCATCCAAATTTTCTCAAAAGTAATAAGCTCAGTGGTACCAGGTAGGTGCCCCACAGCAGGACTGTTGTTGTTAATTGCAAAGTCGTGTCCGACCCATCGCGACCCCATGGACAACGTTCCTCCAGGTCTTCCTGTCCTCTACCATCTTCTGGAGTCCATTTAAGTTCACACCTACTGCTTCATTGACTCCATCCAGCCACCTCATCCTCTGTCGTCCCCTTCTTCTATTGCCCTCAATCTTTCCCAGCATTAGGCCCTTCTCTAGTGAGTCCTTCCTTCTCATTCGGTGGCCAAAGTATTTGAATTTCAACTTCAGCACAGCAGGATAGACCTGGGCAAATGTTAGGCTTGTAGTATCTTATTTTTTTTCCCTAGAAGTCTAAGGTTTACCAACTATAGTTGGAAGAGGGAAACCTATCTAGAGTTCTCCCCAGTCCGACACTGAACAACGACCAGCTTGCTTCATTTGCAGTGTGTTGCCTTTTGAAGAATGTTCAAAAAGTTTGCCGGTCTACAGTATGAACTTCATAGCTTATTATCTGGCAGCCCTAGGGGATAAATCTCCCATTTAATGTTCTAGGTTGCAGCTAGCCCTTGGGGATAGCAAGGGAAGAAAGCTGGGGAAAAAAATGTAAAAAGTTGGGTCAGATTGAGTTAAAATCTCCTCCAAGCCACTGGACACTTGTGGTTACATGAGACACTTTTTGGTCATTTCCGTTAGCTGGGCTTTCCCAATTTTCTACGTTCGCTGAATCGTAAACTGACCAGACGAGTTTGCACAACCTTCTAAGCTAAACTGCGGTCAGCAGTTTGTGGTTGAGCATTATGAGAGCGTAGCCTGCCAAGGGCCTTGCAAACTCATTCCTCTTGAATGCAGTCTTATTCTCTGCAAGGGTGGGCTGGCTAAAAGAACCCAGTTAACCTTGGCTGAAGACAGCAAGCAAGGTTAGGCGTTCATTTGGACTCCTAGCTTGAGTTGGATGCAACCACCGCTGTGATGCTGTGCAGGAATTCCTGCTTTACTCTCCAACATGCTCGTTGCATTCAGAAGACATGAAATCCTGCTGTGGGTTGTTCTTCCTTCCTCACGTGGCTACAGAGCCAGAACTGGTCCTCCCTTCTCTGCCGTCAGGCATCTGTGCTTCTCGTTGTTTGCAAACCTGTCAGAATCCTGGATTCTAGCAGAGGGTGCCCAGCCCCACCAGAGAGTTTTGGGATGAGCAGCTCAGGGAAAACCAAAGAGAAGCAACATGAAGTCCCTGCCATTGCCATGACAGTGTCTCATGCCAGCTGTCCCCAAGACTGAATCTCCGTGGTCTAGAAAACACCATGCGTGCTCTTGAATTTCATAGCTTGCTAAATCGGGGTTTCGACCAAGCAGAGTAATAACCTTTTGGGGGGGAGGCAAAAGGTCCAAAAAAGTAAAAGGAGAAATTCTACACCTCCAAGGCAATCATCCCTAGCACCATAGTTGTTCCTCGCTTCCATCTGGTTTCTATCTTCTTTAAAAATTGACATCTGTGTGAGTGCACAGAGCCTCACATTTTGTTTGGGAGAGTCGTCTGGTGGCAAAATGAGTAGCGAATGATTTTTTAAAAAAATAAATAAACCCCATCCTCTTGACAAAGGAAAAGCAAGCCAAGTTGGGGCCAGCATGTCTTCTCATTTATGATGGCCAGGCTTATCAGGGATGGCCATTCTGTAAACCGGATGCTATTCTGCAAGGCAAATGTGTTGTGTGCCTCTCCCTGTCTCTGGTAACTCTTTTGAAAAATTCCTGCTGTGTTCCACCACCATGGCAGGGGCAAAAATCAAGCTGGCACCATAGACTCTGCGGGGACGGGCTGTCGGTTTTAACACAGCTCTGCAGCACCAGGAAAAACAGGCCAAGATGCGTGGGTTGCATTCAGTGACATCCATCCAGCTGCCTTTTGAAAAGCACCTTTGGGACAACCAGGATCTGGATGATTGAGAATCTCCGTAGAGGGATGGAGATTCTCAATCATCCAGGGAGTTGAATGCACAAAACCCCGATGGGCTCATGGTGCTATGCCATGCTTTAACCATGATTGGCTACACTCTAATTGGCTGGATTCGTCACAGAGTGTAAACCCACACTTCTCTCCAGAACTCTTCATTTGGAAAACTCTAGTTTATCTTAATCCCTAAATTGGACCACGTATTGTAGAAGCTCCTGAGTTTAAAAACTACTTGCCAGAAGATGGAGCTCTGAGCATTTGCAGAAAGAAAACAGAGTTCCCATTTTCAGATGGAATTCCCTGAGTGGCACACAAACACACACACACACATACATCATCCTGCTTTGCAGCAGCTGGTCCCTCTATTTTCCAAATTGTGGGCCATTAATTCCACAAATCACAAGAGCTTCCACTCCTGTGTCAAAATCTACCCTCTCTCTCTGTCCTGGTTTAACCCCAAGCCTGCAATGAACGTACAGAAAATCACAAGGCATTTTGGAAGCTCCTTTTCCAAGTAACCTGTATTTTATAGAACGGCCTTTGTCAGAGGCCATTCCCTCTCAGACGAAATAAGACGTGCATCTATTTCATCCCAGTGAGCAACGATGAAATTCTTTTTCAGTCCCTTGAGGGCAATAACGTTTTACAGAGAGGATGCCACCTAAATTTCAATATTCAAATTTTAATTTGGAAATGTTGAATCACTTTGATCAGTTACAGGAAGTCCTCGACGTAGAACACAACTGAACACAACATTTTTCTTGTTAAGTGAGTTTTGCTCCGTTTTACGACCTTTTCTCGCCACAGTTGTTAAGTGGACCATTGCAGTTGATAACCTGGTTGTTAAGTGAATCTGACTTCCCCATTGACTTGGCTTGTCAGAAGGTCACAAAAGGGATCACGTGACCCCTGGACATTATGAAACCGTCAT